ATCCCCCCAGGAGGAGGAGGAGGAGGACGAGGAGGAGGAGGAGGAGGAGGAGGAGGAGGAGGAGGAGGAGGAGGAGGAGGAGGGGGAGGAGGAGGAGGAGGAGAGGAGGATGAGGAGGAGAGGAGGAGGAGGAGGGGGGGGGGAAACGGCGGGAGGAGGAGGAGGAGGAGGAGGAGGAGGAGGACGAGGGGAGAGGTTTAGGACCAGTCCCATTCACCGCCGAGTGAAAAGGGAGGATCCAAACAAAGGTCCTTAGAGGTTGTAAATATATTCAGAAAGAGAAAACAAACAAAGAGAAAGTGGGCATGAAAGAGCAAGATAGAGACAGAGAGAGCAAACAAAACAGAACAAGCGAGAGAGAGGGAGAGGGAGGAACATCCAAGGCGTCGAGGAGGAAGAGGAGGAGAAAGAGCAGCAGCATAATGCCGAGATCCATAGCGCCTGCTCCCCTCCTCAATAATAGAGAGAATCATGGAGAAGCGGGCAGGAGGAAAGGGAGGGAGCGGGCATCCTCGACCTCAGGACGTCGGCGCCCCCCCACCTCGGGCCCTCGGGGACGCGCGAGCCTGGGCCAGCGGTGGCCCGGGCCAGCACAGCCCATCCTTCCTCCCCCTGCCCCTCCCACCCCCCTGTCCTCTTCGTCCTTCTTCTCCTCCCCCTCCTCCTCCTCCTCCTCCTCCTCCTCCTCTTCTTCTCCCCCTCCTCCTCCTCTTCTTATCCCCCGCCTCCTCCTCCTCCTCCTCCTCCTCCTCCTCCTCCTCCTCCTCCTCCTCCTCCTCCTCCCTGAGCCAGAGGTGGCCCAGGGCCAGCACAGCCGTGGGGGGGGGCGCCTCCTTTGCCCCTGTGGGCCTCCCCCGGCGGAGCCGACCCCGCTCTGCTTCCACCGCCCTCCGTGCCAGCGCCCCGATCCCTCGAGTGCGAGGCCCTTGCTTTAAGTCGAGCGTGTCCCCCTACAGGCCGATTTTGGACGAAAAATAAAGAATACTCAAAACATATTCCAGAATTGCCAAAAAGTGCTCAAAAAATAGTCCCCATACTATTTTTTTCGCTATTTTTGAATTTTCCCCCTGTACAGGGACATGCCCGACTTAACCCTTGCTGGAGCGCCCCGCACGCGGCTTCCACGCCCAGGCAAGCCAGAGGGGATCGGAAGGAGAGCGGCCGACCCCGAGAGCCGGGTCGAGCGAGAGGGGCGGACGGCACAGGGGAGCGACTCCACCCGCGCAGCCGATTTTCTCCGGCGCCCGGGGCACCAGTGCAGCAAGCACCCGACGGCAGAGCCGAAACCAGCTGCATGCCATAGACTTCGGACCCTCCCAAACCCTAGATCCCCCCATTTTGTCCGAACCAAGTGTGGCTCCAAAACCCGGGCCAGCCAGACGGGATCGGAGGGGAGTGGCAGACACCCGAGAGCGCCGATACCCCGCCACTGGAGGCCTCTCCAAAGGGGTCAACGCAATTGGGGTCGGAGGAACGCGCCGCGTCGCCGACGCGATGCATCGCCGATACATCGGCGGCGCAGTCGTGGGGAATTATCGGGCTTCACGTCGATCCGCTCCAGCGATGCGGCGCGATCCTCGATCCCATGTGCGTCGACCCCCCTACCCGCCGGTCGGAAGAAGTATGTGGAACAATAAGTATAAAGGCGGACAGAGTTGATTGGGGTTCGGGCCCACCCAAAGAATAATTCAAAGCAGCAACAAATATCGACCCTTGAAATAGGAAGGCGCTTGAAGTAGATTGGGATCTGGGAATCCAGAAATCCTTCCTTTCAACGACTGGCGTGTCTGGGAGGCCTGGCGCCAACCGCCCCGCCGGGCCTCCGCGCCGGCGGTCGTCCTCCTCCTCCTCGTCCTGGTCGTCGCGGCGCCGGTCCCCGTCGCGGCGGCGCCTCGGCGGCGCTGGCGCGGTTCCCCCAGGGGGGGGGGACGGCCCATGGCTCGCCATATCTCCGTCGGGCGGGTCGTAATGGGGGGGATGACTCACATGGGGGGTGAAGGGAGGGGCCCTCAAGTGGCCCTTTAGGGCCCCTGCTGGTTCCCAAAAGGGGAAGGGCCCCTTCAGGGCCCTCTCTCCTCGCCCCCCATTTACGTCACCCCCCACTGCCACCCGTCCGACCCGGAGGGCGGGGGGGGGGCGCCCCGGCTCGCCAGGTTTCCGAGGCTGGTCATGGTTCTGCGGCTGCCCACGCATGTTTTCTTTGCTCTGCGTTGCCGCCTCGGGGGGTGGGCCGTGCTCGGGCGCAGCAGGTGCGCGCCCAGGCGGGCGGAAAACTGCCCTCTGGGGAAGCGGTCGGGACCTCAGGGGGCCGCATCGAAAGCCTGGCAGAGCCACGCATCCCGTCCTTGGAGCACGTGTGGGCACACACGAAGCGGGGAAGGAAGGTGGAAACAGGGAGAGCGGGAAGAGCGAGGCAGCAACATGGAAGAGGAAGGAATAGCACAGGAGGGGAAAGGAGGAAGTGCCATGCTGGTTCCCACGTTGAGCGCGTTTCTTCTTCTTTTTTTTGTTTCTTCTTCTTCTTCATGAGGGAGGCGTCCTGGAGCCGTGGAGGACCTGTTGGGGGTCTACTACTGGGACCTCTTGGGCCACACTGGAAACAGAAACACTTCTTGCAGGATCGGCGAAGAAGGCCAGGGTGCTTGGGACGAATTGGGCCCCTTGTTGGGGGCTCCAACCTGCTCCTTCACCTCTTCGTCCCCATCCTCCCTCACTCCTGCCTCCTGCCTCCTGCCTCCTGCCTCCTGCCTCCTGTCTCCTGCCTCCTGCCTCCTGCCTCCTGCCTCCTCCTCCTCCTCCTCCTCCTCCTCCTCCTCCTCCTCCTCCTCCTCACTCCTCCTCCCTCTAACCCGCAACTCTGTAGCTGGAGCTGATGGCAATGTCCGTCAAGACTGGCGCCAGTTCCCCCCGTCCCCAGCCTTCACTGGGGCCTCCACCTCCTGCTCCTTCTCAATCTTCCTCCATCCCTCTCCTTCTCCTCCTCCTCCTCCTCCTCCTCCTGCTCTTCTTGCTCTTCCTCTCTCCAGTCCCGTCCCCTTCTCTTTGCTCCTCCTCCCTTTCCCCCAGCGAGCGCAGGCAGGAGAGAGTGGGAGGACTGGAGGAGGGAGCGACGACGACGGCGACCAAGACCGCAGTGTTGTTGGTCCATTTTGATGGGTCTCCCGGGGCGGGCGTCTCGCCCCTGGGTGGGTCCGCCTCGAGATTTGTTGGTCAGCCAGGACAGGCCACGGCGGCCACGGGCTCGTTCTGGAGATCATGGTGTCAGTATCCAACGACAACCCTGGTTATCCGTTGGGGGGGCGGAAGTGCTGCCCGATCACCTAACCTTTCCGCTGCGGGCAGCCCCACGCATGCCCGCGCGCATCAATACTGCGTACCCCCGTCGGACCTGCGCAACCGACAAGACCAGGTTATCCGGAGGGGAGCGGGGGGGGGGGCAGGCCCGACAACCGGAATATCGACGGACCCTTACGAGTCGTCGTCTCCGTCAGTCGTCGTCATCGTCCCCTTTCCCTGCGCCCTCCTCATCAAGCCTGTCAGCGAAAGAAAAATCTAGCAATGTCGTAGTCGAGTCGAACAGACGCCCTTTTCCTGTAATCCCCTCCCCGTCGGCGGGGAGGGTCCTGGGGTGCGGTCCTGGGGGGGGGAGGTCAAACACGCATTCCTCCCTGGCTGCTACGGGGCCTCCTCAGAAAATACCAAGACAGGCCACGAGTGCCCCAAGAGGCACCTCTTCCCGCCGCTCCAGGACGGCCCAAGAGGCCCCCAAGATCGCCACAAGACGTCCCAAGAGGCCACCAAGAGGGTCCCAAAACAGCATAAGAGAACCCAAGATAGCCCAAACCGCCTCCAAGACGGCCCAAGAGGCCCTCAAGACGGCTCCAAGAGCGTGCCCAGACAGGGGACACGAACGGACACTTCGAGCCCTCGGCCCCGAGAGGCTCCCAGGAGACCTCAAGAGGTTCCCAAGAGGCTCCAAGAGGCCTACAAGAGGTTCCCAGGAAGCCCGAAGAGGCCCCCAAGAGGGCCCCAAGAGGTCCCCAAGATGCCCCCAAAAAGATCAAAAAAATCCTCCCCAGAGGACCCCCAGGACCTTCCAAAGAGACCCCAATAAGCATCACCGAGGACTCTGGCCCACGTCAGCGTCGTCGTTGTCGTCGCCGCCGCCGCCGTTGTCGTCGTCGTCGACGTCGTCCCCCTTCAGGGTCGGCGCCACCAGCCGTAAGACATTTGCAATCGACGGACCCTGGAAAAGTGGGGGAAGGAGGGATGATGAGGTGGGAGGGAGATCGATGATCATGTTTGTTGGACGTTTCTGGACCCGTTCCCCAGCCTCTGGAGGTCTCTGGAAAACTTCAGCGGAGGAAGGTACACGACCCGTCAACGTCATTCAACATAGAGGATTGGTGCGTGAGCGAATCGATGCGTGGAACAGTATGGTTGTGGATGTGATGGGTGGTCGGATACGTATGGTGCTGGGTACGGGATCGGATAATTATGGTGATGAGCTGCTACGGATGCGAAGTTGGTGTAGGCAAGGATGTGGCGCTGGTTTCGGATTTGGAAACCAGTTACGCTATGCATGGATACGGATGGTGCTCAAGGCGGAGCCCGATGGACACGCATGTTGATGATGTCTCTCGCCTTCTCGCATACACCTTGCTCCCTCTACCAAAAAATACACAAGCGGCCTGGCGAGCTGCGGGGCCCTGACCCGCCAATCGTTCATGCCAGTGCTGCCGCAATGAGGGCGGCTGCGGCCGCAGCAACAGAAGAGATGCCAAGGCCTGCGCGGAAAGAGCCGCTGCCAGCGACCGCAACAGCGCGGTCCTTCCCGATCGCTGAGGACACGAGAAACTCCTGGGGGTGGCCGTCGGATTCGCTGCCAACGCGCATCACCACGTACATGGCGCGGACGGCCACCTCGAGAGCGACAGTCTTGATGGTCTTGCCGTGGGCGTCCATCATGACGATATCGTAGTTCCAAACATGCACCTTCGCCGAAGAGCCCGGCTTGAGATCCACGCTCTGCCTCGAGCTCCTTCTGGATCCCTCGACGCCAGAGTACGCGTCGATGACAACCACCTGCGCACTCTTGGCAACATGTGGGAAGCGAAATGAGCGGACATGGTGTCGCTGCTAACGCGAAATGGGGCCAACAATAAGTTCGCGCGGACGTATGGCAGGCCAGTGGTGCGGAAGGTACCCATGCTGAGACCCCCAAGCTTGAAGTCAATCCTGCGAAGAAATTGAGATGGCCCAGTCGTTGAGGTGGCCGGGCACCTGCACGAGGAGGCACAGGAAAGGTCTCCTCCCTTCTGGCTGCCCGCGCAAGGGCGGTGGGCTGCAGGCAGGGCCCCAGGCGCCAGGCCCCGGGGGGCCCCTCCTCCTCAAACCTCCTCCTCCTCCTCCTCCTCCTCCTCCTCCTCCTCCTCCTCCTCCTCCTCCTCCGCTAAGGAGCCCACAAAGGACGTACACGCCCAGCTATGTACATGAACGCGGCCCCTTGACCCGCGAGACCTGCCGCGTGATGCGAACAATCGTGCAAGGCGAACTCTCGAAACCAGCGTGGATTCATGTACGTGTGCGTCCTTCTTTCGCTCCTGATCCTCCGCCTCCCTCAACCTCATGGGCTATGATGTGTTCTACCATGCCTATCCTCGCGGATGGCTCTGTCGACCTCTACCACCCAGCGGGCGAGCTGAAGGTCTGTTTCTTTTCGCGCCTTGACAGTCGTCGGCCATCCCAGCCTTCTCTGGAGAGCATCCATCGGCGCCACACGCGGCTGGGCCGCCCACCGGGGACTGTTGCACTGCCAACAAATGTGACTCCACGTTCGGGGTGATCTTCTGCACCACGGGCACACGCCCGCAGCAGCGTCCCCCTTGTGCAAGGCCATGGGCGAAAACGTCGCGCCCGCAGCCACGCGGAAGAAGCCGGGGACCTCCTGGATCGTCTCCAGCACCTTCTTATGCCTGATGGGGTCGTACGGGATGTCCACACACTCCGCAGCATCGCGGCGGTCGCCTCTTTGCCATGCGGCGTAGAGATGCTGTCGACAGCCTTCCTGGAGGAGGTGGGCCACTCGTTCAGGGGGCTTCCAGGCAGGGTGCGCCTGCCGCAAGGTGATGGTCTCCCCGATGCCCGGGTGCGCCCAAGTCCAGGGAGCCTGCACCGTCCAGCCAGTCCAAGCCAAGTGCTGGCTCAAGATGCCGCCCCAGCCGCTCTTCGAGGGCCATGGCAGCTGTTCCGTGAAGTCGGCATCGGAGATCTGAAGGCAATCCTCTCGACGTCTTCCAACTGCAAGGAGATCTTCCTGCACGCCCTGTACTGTAGCGGCTATTCCGCAAGCCTTACCTTCTTGCCAACTGTGTATGTGCAGAGGGGCTTGTGGTCCGCGTTTCCGTTGCAGATGGTCAGGTTGTGTCTAAGGACTACGTCGGCCTGTACCTCAGTGCCCGCGAGCATCGCCACAGCCTGCTCCTGCGTTCCCATCACCTGCACGCCCCATACCTGCGACTGCTGAGGCCAGAGCGCTGCCGATCAAACAAGCTCGCAGGACAGCCATCAATACAGGCTGTGTATGGGCAAGGACGTCAGGGTAGTGTCTGGCAGACCGTTAGGTGCTAGGTCTATGAGCTCAAAGGGCTTGAACCAAGAGTGCCATGGAAGATATCGATCGATACGGACGGCACATGGTCGGACATGGTAGTTGCTGAACAAAGGACCATAATAATATGGATCTGGGTCTGGTTGTACCTTGTATTATTGAAGTGTATGCGGATGTGATGGGTGTGTTACACACACATATATATATATACATATATACATATACATATACATTTATATATATATATATGTGGGGAGGGGCCTTGGGTATGGTAATGGATAGATGCACATTCAAGTGACGGTGTGCATGCGGATAGATAGAGGGATGGTGCTGCATACGGATTCAGATATGGATTGGCGCTGGATGTGATGAAAGCTGGGCGCGGAGTTCGATACATACGGACGCGAATGGCGGATGGTCGTACGTGGGTAGCGCTCGATGCGGAGTTTGGGGGGGGGGATGTGGACGTGGTCGCGGCTAGGACAGTGGACACGGAATCGAATGACCATGAACACGAGGCCACCCTGGCTTCGGCCCTGAGCTCCACCACGGCACCCGCGACCCCGTCCTGCGGACCCGAACGCCACACCGCGCGGCCGGAGGGGCGGCCCGGAGGCTCCCTCGACGGGCCTGCAACGCAGGAGCAACGCAACACTCTCTTGTCGCCGCCGTCGTCCCAGGCCCCCGACGCCACGATTTTGTCACCGCGTCGACCCCCCGGAGGTCTCGACCCATTCCGTGGGCCCTATTTCTCAGCCTGGGTCGTTTTCTGACAGTCCTGAGGCCCAGCCTGGGGTCGTGGTCGTCCTTCTCCCCCTCCAAGAGCGCCCCCCCCGCCCCCCCATTTCGCCCCCAAGGGGCGAGATCTGGCGGGATGACGAAGCCCTCGCTCCCCGCAGGTCCCAGAGCGCTCGAAACGACCCCGTCGACGGGACCCCAGTGTTTTCTCATCCTCTGCCCGGATTGAGCAGGAAGTGGAGGGAGCAGGGGGAGGAGGAGGAGGAGGAGGAGGAGGAGGAGGAGGAGGAGGAGGAGGAGGAGGAGGAGGAGGAGGAGGAGGACCAGTGCAAACCCAAGAGTCACCAACGATGTTGGAATGAACCCTCCCCCCGAGCTCCCTCTTCATAGGCCCCTACATCGGTTCATTTCCACAGAGGGACCTGCCTCCTGGGAATACAACCGTTGAAGACCCTGAAGCATGCCAGAACATGATTCTCGGTATTCCAAATCCACGGATGAACCTGGCTGCTGCGTCTTGACGACCCTGAATCGTGCCAGAACGCCATTCCTGGGACCTCAACACCGCGAATCATCCTAACTGTTGCGCCCTCGAAGTCGTGAATCTTTTCGAAGCACCATCTTTGGTACGTCGATCATGGGAATATGCGACAATCTTGCAATTTAGTATCCGGGATGTGCGCGGCGCCACGGTGAGAGCCATGTGCTGAAAAAGAACCGCATTCAATCAGCGAAAATCTTGCATTTTTAAACCGAATGTGCGCGGCGCTAAGGCGAGAGCCACATGTTGAAAAGGAACCACCCTCAATATGTGAAACTCTTGCAAATTAAAAAAAGAATGTGCCTGGCGCTAAGGAAAGAGCCACATTTTGAAAACGACCCGCCCTCAATCCTTGAAGCTCTTGCAAATGTCTGAAACGAATGTGCGCGGCGCTAAGGCGAGAGCCACAATTTGAAAACACCCCCCCTCAATCCGTGAAACTCTTGCAATGGTGCAAAAGGAATGTGCGCGGCGCTAAGGCGAGAGACGCATTTTGAAAACCACCCGCCTTCAATCCGTGAAACTCTTGCAATGTTTCAGCTCCAGGGTCATAAATGGTGAGGACGTCTCATGCGAACCCCCCCGGCTCGCCCTAAAAACTGGCCTCGGGGTGCGACAGGGAGGACTTATCTGTAAGGAGAGGGAGTGGAGGAGGAGGAGGAGAAGGAGGAGGAGGAGGAGGGCAAGGATATCGGAGGCAGTCTGAGGCTCCTTACTCCCCTAAGTATGGTCCTTCTTCCTCTCCGCCTGCCGCTGCCAATCCTCATCCTCGTCTAGCTGCACATGTTCCACGTGCTCCTGATCCTACTGCTGCTGCTGCTGCTGCTGCTGCTGCTGCTGCTGCTGCTGCTGCTGGAGCTGGAGCTGCTGCTGCTGCTGCTCATCATGATCATCCCCCTCGCGGCGCGCTCGCATTACACACCTGGGGACCCGGGCCTCCGCGTAATTGCAAGAGAGATCCTCGCACTGGCCCCGGTGCTGCAAGCTGGCTTGACTGGGCTAGAATTACTGCACACCTTGCGACATGCACTGTCGTCACGTCGCCTCGTGCCTCTATCTATGCGCATGCATCCTCGCGGATTCCGCAAAAAAGCAAAAATCAAAGTGCAATTGCCACGCGCCGAGATACCCGGCGGGGTGGGATTAGAAAGCCTCTGGCCGTCGCGAAGTCGCGAAAGGTGGCAGATCATGACCTGACTGCGGGTCGCCCAGTCCATGGGCCGCGCGCTCGTCAGGCCGTGATCTCCTGCTCCTGCAGGACGGTGGCGCTGCGGGCCGTCCCGCCCCACGTGAGGGTGACCTCCTCGCCCTTCTGCAGCTCGGGCATGGCGGCGTCCGAGGCAACCCTCACGGTCACCTTGCCCAGGGGCCGACCGGCGGCCGCGGCATCACCGGCCGAGCCCGCGGCATCACCAGCCGAGCCCGCTGCCGCGGAGGATGGCGCCGGCGCGCTGGTCGTGCTGCCCGGGGTGCGGCCCCCATGCTTCTTGCAGCTCCAAGGCGTGCGGTGCTCGGCGTCGTCCTCGGGGTCGGTCGAGCCGGGCACGCAGGCCTCCTTGCAAGCCGCCCAGTACTCGCTCTTCTCGTAACACTGGAAGCCAGGGTCCGCGCAGCAGGCCGACTCGCGGCAGTCCTCGCTCTGCTTCCTGGCGCAGCGGGAAAAGTCGACGCTGGAGCTGGCCAGGGCTGCGGCGGACTGCGCGGGCGCGGGCGCGGGCGTCGCGTCGGCCGCGGGGGAGCCGTAGCCGCTGGCGGCGACGACACCCGCAGGCGGCCGGTTGCCCGAGGACTGCTGCGGCTTGGCGTCGGAGCCGCCCGAGGGGCTGCTCGGGCGGGGGCCGCCGATCTCCTCCACCGAGAAGTCGGAGAACCTGACGGACTTCCCGCACGCGTCCATGTCGTCGACCGTGCAGGGGCCCTGGCCGTCCGTCCCGGGGCCGTCCATCCATAGCATGTCGTTGGCGGCCCAATAGCTCACGATGGGCGTCATGCCGGCCTCGATGGCCGAAGACAGCTCCGCCATGCCCTCGTAGGAGCCGAGGCGGACCGAGAGGGGGCAGGACTTGCCCGTCTGCGAGAGGGTCACCTCCATGGCGGAGAGTGCGCCCTGGCTGTCGACTGGGAACGAGACCGCGACGTCGAAGGGCGCGGCGGTGTCGACGCAGCTGGCCCCAGGGCCGTACTCAGCGGAGCCCCAGTCGCGCGGCCCGTTCCAGCTGTCGCCGCCTCCGAAGCCCCCGCCGACGCCGCTGTGGTCGGTTGCCGTGTGCAGTGTGCTGTGCCAGGCGAACTGGTTCGCCTCCATAATGTCGATCTCCGCGCACGACTCGCCGCACACGTTGTTGGCATCGCAGTAGTAGTCCGAACACTCGGACGGCTGAGTATTCTGCCGCATGGACGTCAAATAGAAAGCGGCATTGCATCCGCAACCAGCTCCGGTGAGGTCGACCGTGTACCTCATCGTCTTGCCTAGCAGGTTGAGCGCCAAGTACTGCTTGTGGTCGTACTTGCCCGGCGTGCACTCGTCGGCGAAGTAGGCGCGAGCGTCCATGTGGGCTTCCAGCTCCCCGCTGCTGGTGACGTCCACAGGCTCGAACCCCTCGTTGGCATGAGGGAAAGGCGTGTACAGTGTACTGGTGGGATGGGGGCAACGATAAAAGGGCGGACTGACATAGAGGGGGAACATCGACCTTGAGTCGGCGATACATCGCCAATAGATCGGCAATAGGCTCTCGACAGCGAATCCGAACGTTCCTGGGCAGGGTGGGACTATCGGGCCCCTACCAGCGACCCATGGGCGATTGGGGGTCGATGCGTCGCCCCATCATGCCTATCCCCCACTGTCGTTGCCCCCTGATAGAACCCAGACCTCCGTCGTCATGATTTTGTCGTAATGTCGACCTAAGTCTGGACCCATTCCCCGGGACTGGCTTTTCATCCCGAATCGTTTCTTGCCCCGAAGCCGTGTATACGGGACCTCAGAAGCAAAACAAATATAATTATGGCAAAACCTTCCGCCGTGATTTTTTCATGACTCGAGGGGTTCAGGGATCGCTGCCCCTGATGGAAGCAAGGTTTGCCCGAACCCTGGGACTTTTCCCCGGGAGCGCCTGGGAGCCTGTGGCAGCGCTCCTGGGCGCGCCTGGAAACTGCCCCAGGGCGCTCCTGGGCGCGCCTGGAGCCGCCTGGGAGCACTGGGAAGCGCCTGGGAGCGCCGGGGAGCGCCTGGAAGCGCCGAGGAGCGGAGCGCCTGGGAGCGCGTGGAAGCGCCGAGGAGCGCCGACGAGGGAGCGCCGAGGAGCGCCGGGGAGCGCCTGGGAGCGCCTGGGAGCGCCTGGGAGCGCCGAGGAGCGCCGGGGAGCGCGTGGGAGCGCCGGGGAGCGCCTGGGAGCGCCTGGGAACGCCTGGGAGCGCGTGGAAGCACCAAGGGGCGCCGGGGAGCGCCTGAAATCGCCGAGGAGCGCCTGGGAGCGCCTGGGAGCGCGTGGAAGCGCCGGGGAGCGCGTGGAAGCGCCGGGGATCGCCGAGGAGCACCGGGGAGCGCCTGGGAGCGCGGCTGTGATGTGCACAACTAGTTCTGTGGAAGTTGTGGAAGTTGTGGAAGTTAGGTTGAAGTTGTGGAAGATAGTTGTTCGTCTTTTGTTGCTTGCTTTTTGAAAATTAGCTCCCCCTATCTTACACCACTCTGTTCCCTAACTTCCCCCTATCTTCAACCACTCTAATTCCTGAAATTTTACCATTTTTTAAAAAACGCGCTGCGAATGCAGGTTTATTTTTTTGTTCAGCCA